GAAATCTCTCAAATTCTCAGAGTACTCAAAGTACAATTTTAATGAAGGGAAAAACTAAATTCACAGCAATATTGAAAATGTTAAATAAAAATGAAAAATTTATCTTGAAATTTACAATGACTATTTAAAATTTTGCCAATAACTACTACAAGATACAGCACCATTCATTGTGAATGTTTATACTAGAGGACAATTGATACTCCTTTTCTTTTTTACTAAAATGCTTAAATAATTGTGCAATAATGCACCAGGGCCATGATTTATCTACATCAGTAAACCAAATTTAGTGTTATGCTATGAAAAGGATGCCTTCTTTATATATGAGTGATAACCAGCACTGGTTCTGTAATTCTTCTTTGGTATCACCTCATTGTGCAAAACTAAAACAAGATACAGTTTCAGTATTAATTGCTAAAGGGCACTCTGTAACTTACACATTTCCTCATGAGTACAGGAACTTCCAGTGCTGAAAAGGTCAATAGTTGAACTAACATGGAATACTACTGAACAAATAACCTATGCTTAACAATTACACAAAACCAAATGAATCTTTTAAGGCATTCTTATTTTGTAGCATAAGTAGGTTATTTTTCTGTACTCAAGCTGCTATGCTAACATTAACTCTACATCTTGAAAATTAATATAAAACTGTATAAAATATATATATTATATATATGGCTTATATACAATATATTTTATACCTATGTAAAAATACTTGTCTTTATGTTGCTTCCAGAGGTGTACATCTTTGCAAATACAAGAGGAAGCATAATGAAATTATACATAATTAAGCTGGAAAAACCAAGTTTGTTTTAATCTGTGGAAGTAATTCTAAAATGGAGAAACTGAGATCAACAAAGTTGCATGTGTAGGAATGTTTTCTGGCAAGGGGAAAATGGAAGTTAGAAATGCAAAAAAAAACGCTAAACCCAACCTAAATAAGTCATTATGAAAATAACAAAACAAAGAAAGCTGTATGGCAATCAACAATCATCGGGGAGAAAAGAAACTAAACATTAAGGATAGGACATTGAATGGAAAATTAATCTTGTGGATGTCAGTCTTTACTACGGAAAAGGAATAACAGTCTTAGAACCGTTTTCAATAAATTAAACAAATGAGAATAGAGTACTTGTGTCAAAAGAAAGACTGCGTTATCGTCAGAGTCAGAATGGTACTTATCTACCAGTTCTAGCAGAGTTTTTGTCATCTATCACTCTTAAACAATAATAAAACCCTTTACTACTAGAACTTGTGTACTGGACAGGAGTCAGGTTTAGACCTTTTCAACATAAAAGCATGCGGCAGCATGATCCAGGCCAGCAAGCCATAATTTCAGTATTGGGTAAAACAGAACACCTTGACAAATCCAGCATAATGAGAGCACATCAGTACAACTCCTGAACCCAAACTGCTATTATCCACTGTTTATTTTTCCTTGATACTATAAAAGTTACTGGATTTTCAACAACATTCTAACAAAGTTCTTTGCAACAGACTATTAAGGACACTAAGATGCAACAAGGTAAGAAACACATTTTAGATATGGATCACAAGCCGCTAGAACAGATAAAAACGATAAACTATCCAGAAGAGCTACGCTAGAATTGGGCATCACACTGCCCAGTGTAGGTAAGTGCAAGGTACAGGAGGATCTATCCAGCTGGAATTGCACAGGTGCACCATGTAAATAATGCTGAAGAACAATCCCAGGGCAAGATGTCCAAAATCAATAAATATTCATTTTCAAAAGCAACTTAAGCTCTAAAGACATTATGTGTCACTGAAAAATTTGTACCAGTTAGGAGCCCAAGTCTCTTGCAAATATGAGAACAGATGACATTTTTAGACCCAGATGCAGCAAAATTCTAAACAGCCACTAAATGAGCAGCAAGATTCAAACTAGGAAACAAGACGTGCAGCCCAAAGAAAGAGAAAGCGCTGCTGAAGCATTTAGGGGAGATAATCGTAGAAAGTGAAGAAAGAATAACAGAGAGAACAAAGGAAGTAAGCGGTCACAGTTTCCCAACTGTGCCAATAAAGATCTTTATGAATGTGACTATTCCATGACACCTGGATGTTAAGACAGTCTGTGATAGGTTTAGGTAAAGCTAAACCCTAAAGCACATTGAAAGAATGCTAAAGCTCCAAAATCAAGGACTCTGATAGAAAACATCAAAATTGAGTACTTCATTTGGCCCTGCTAGACCTTGTGAGCCTAAGGAGCCTTTTTAACAAAGTAAGCTTCTTTAAAAAACTACAGTGCAATAAGCTGCATTTGGGGTCATCTTACCAACTCACCAGCAAAGTTGAGAACTCCAGATCTACAAATGACATACCACCATTTTGGAATGCAGTAACAGTCAATGCTAGGACATTACTCGTGTGTAGAAAGTAAGACAGTAGATAAAAGATGGAAGAAGACCAAGAAATATGCTACAACTTCCAAATTTTTGGAATTCCTGCTCAGCAACACAGAAACACATGCTCTAACAGACAGCTATGACTCCTGAATTCAATTTAAAAGTACTACAGGGGTGTATGCTACAGCAATTGCAGTTATCTCTACCCATATGCACCCAGCGCCTCTTTACATGCACATGCCTCCGTTCCCTCCTGCTCCACTCTGCTTCAAGCTCCTGCCTCTCTGCATTTATTTTCTCCCCACATCAGACCCAGTAGCCTCAATCCTTCACAGCTCTATTCTCTGTCACATTCTGGGTCTCCCTCTCCCCTTGTGTTGCCATTCTCAGTCCTAATACCCTTCATCACCTGTCTCCTGGTTTGACTCCTGCTGTTCCCTGTTACTTCTACCCTCCCATTACCCTTCCACCCCACTTTTCATTCCCCTAAAACCCAAAATACCGGTCAAATTCTTTCTCTTCCATTCTGTACTGATATAGAAACAGGTATAAGAACAGCACATTTTTCTGCCTAATGCTGGGTGTCTGCACATGGCTCTTTTTGCCCACTCTTCCCTATCTACCCTTTGAGGATGATGTCATCTGTTCACACCATCTTAACTAGCATCTGCACAGCAATGGCTTGTAAGCATGTCTATCCATCCACCTACTCCTGATTGCCTCCATATGGTACTGCTTCTTTTCCTGATTTTCTCTCCAGAAAACTTAAGCTTGATATGTTCACAGCTCAGCTCCTTACCATTCCTCTCAAACACTTTTTGCAGAAAAAACTTTTGCCATTATCGCCTCCTGTAATATAGGAAGTCTTTTATGACCCCTTTGCCTGCGTTTGAACCACATACCCACACTATATCCAAAATCTCATTACAATCTTCTTCCATGTATACATCTTTTCCTTTCTAACAGTACAGCTCACCCAATATCTCCATCTTTCTTCAGGCACACACTGAAGAATTAGAGAGATGGAGATTCATCAGTTTAAATTTAGACAGGCTTCCCTACTTATCCTAAGTCATACTGAAAGTGTAGCAAGTAAATCTCTTAACATATTAGTATTTATGCTTTCATTTCAGGAATCTTCTTCATCACGTCACCCTTAAGAGCTATGCTGGTATCACTGGTTTCAACCTCTTGGGAGGCAGACGATATAGAGACAGCTCAAAGAGCTCCATCAGTTGCTACTCAACTGGTACCAGTTGGTACGTACCAATCTTTGTTCAAAGTTTCTGCAATCTTTAATCAGGTATCTTCTGAACGTAAAAGAGTACGAAACAGCAAGCATGCTAGACAGATACGTAGCCATTTTAAAAAACAAATAAAGTATGTTGTTACCTAAAGATAAATAATATATTGAATGGCTGGGTGGCTGAGAAAGTAAAGAGAAGAAAAGCAGACATCCAAGTTACACAACTGCATTTTTAAATTGCATTAACAACTTAAAAACAGAGGACCCCATGAAAATTTGACCAAAACTGCCATCTTAATACAGCTATTTATATAAGAACCATGCTTTAACACTTAGTATGTTATCAAACTTAAAAAAAAAAAAACAACTTTAAAATCAAGGGGAAAAAAAAAAACCACAGAAAAAGCCCCACACCCCACCCTTATTTGAGATGAAAAACTACCAGCAGAACATTTTATACTCAGATAGTCTTAAATTACTTGCTTCAGCAAACCAATTTTTAAAAAATATTATTTTGGGTTGTATACTGAATTTATTTCCAAGGTTTATTTTAACATTAGTACTAATTAAAACAGACACTGTGCTACACTTCTCTTACTCCTCATTATGTGTTGTAAGCATTGTTTATACTGATAGAACAGATTCAGAAATAAGTTACAAAACAAAAAAGTGAAAATGAAGACACTCCCTGCAAAGTGAAGGTCAAGAACATCATGCAAGACATCCTTACAAAATAATCTCTGAAGTCTCTAGCAAAATTAATGAGAAACATACAAGATTTTTTTTAGAAGTTAGTATTTCGACAAAATTAACAACCTACACTACTATACATACATTATACATGGTGACAGATTATAAAAATTATTCTTTTCTGATTCATGCATTAAACTGCATTATCAACCCATTTTAAGGGTCTGAATAATCTCTGTGACTCCTAACAGTAATTTTCCTAATATACAAGTGGGTACCAACTTGTCCTTAATATAATTTATTCAAGATAAGACCTAAATATTCAATTGCATATAAACATATCAGGTGAAATTCAGCATGGCTCAAAGAGGCAGTTTTATTTCAGAGATTTCTTAGGACAAAAAAAAAAAAAAAAAAAAATCACAAATGGAAAGTAGGCAAATTCAAATATAGATTGTTGGAAGCTTTTTAAGTAATAAACGTTTAATCCCCTTCTTTTTTTCAGTATCACGTGGTTTCCAGTGTACACAAAGTAGAGAGTGAAAAGGTAAAAATAAAACTGGCATACCCTTAATATATTCCAGAATTCATAAATCACTTGTAAATTTAGTCCTTTTATAAAAGAATCCTTATATAAATCGGGTGGAGGGAGGGCATCAATCCCATATATGAAGCACAATTTAAGCCCAACATCACTGACCAATCAAAATTAGTAAATGCACTGCATCTCTCTGCAGTGAGGAGAAGCGACAAGGTAGGCTGTCATTCTGCAAAAGCTGCCCATCGCAAGCTTTCCTCTCAGAAGCATTGCTTTTCTTTTTTAGAAAGCTTGAATCTCAGTGGTGTCTCTGGAGACAAGAAGCCTTCAGTATGTTAAATTACTTTCATTATGTATTTTCAGATGCTTATTGATTCTACAGTAGGAAGAGTGAGAGACTGCAGCAGCCTGTAAACCAGAACTAAAGCAGTTGTATACATTAGCAGTATGCTGAAACAATGGCACAGTACAGGCACAAATTTTCATTAAGGTCATTTTTTGAAGATATGCTTATTACCCTCTTTCCCTTCTACTCTGCTAACAAGTGAACAAAATGAATCCCTCCAACCTGGAACTGCTTCACCTGCATCGAGAATTTATCAAATCTTTAGTGGAGGTAAGATCTGTTCCTTATTATGATATGCAGAATAAGCAACATTTAACAAAAAAAAAATTGGAGAAAAAAGGGAAGAGATCAGATTCAACTTACATTAAGCGCTAGTATCTTGTTATATTTGAGACCAGGAAATATTCAAATGCTATTTCCCCCTCCCATTAAAAACACAATGGTAGAAAAATGTTTTTTGTATGAAAGTCTTGTAGAATATTAAGAACCTGTTTTGGTCGTACAACATAAAGACAGTACAGTTTAAGCTAATACAGTATTGGGGAAAAAAAAAAAACCATATAATGCAACCGGGAATATTTTTTTCCTCCCTCAGCAGTATTTCCAAATATTGGCAATTAAATGTTATAGATTTATTCAGTTACTCTTTGAAGGATCAGATAGTCTGTATTTAGTGTATACTTACTGCTTTATGAAGGTTGGCTAATACGACTAATCTCTGATTGCTCAAGATATCCCCTTTTCTTGTTGTTTTTTTTTAAACTTATTTCTTTCATTACCTTGTACCTTCAAGCCATTTATTAAAAGCACAGATTTGCTAGATATTTATTTCAAGAAAGAAAATTACAACAGTGTGCAAATTAAACAAAAACATATTTCCTATAAAGCTCATTGACTCTGCTCAATTTCTCATTAGAAGACAAGAGAGTTGTATGTATAAACTACCTGCTCACAAGAGCTGTAAAACTACATTTCCTAGCTCTAGTCACGGACACTCTACATCCAACAGTTACTGCTTCTAGTCAGGGTTTTTTGTAACCTGCACTATTTGAAGAACAGGAAACTTGTCCAAAAATCTAAATTCATGTTAAGTTGACAGAAGAATGACATGATTTTACTAGCAAACAGTGAACGCTAACTGATTTTCTATGTAATCTCTAAAATCCAATTTTAAAGATCTTTTATTCATTAAGTAAGTGATATTAGAAAATATATTCTTGCACTACTTTATTTTGAAATTATAAGCCCTACTTTTAACCTTTTTTTTCCTCCCCTTCACAAGGGCATGCAGCAACTAATTCAGTTTTACAACTGACAATATGAAGAATGCAGTTGACCCGGTATCTTTCTAGCTGTATGACCTACAAGCAGCAGGATGCATCACTAAAATGTATTCTTAAGACATAAAGGAATTAGAAACAAAACATGGAACACACTTGTATTACCATTTACGTGCATGACACTTCAACAATATACATGGAAGACTAACACATCTGCTCAGATTTTCATTAAAAGAAGAGTGCAATGATTGATTCTTAAAATGGTGAGCATTCTTAAAGAGGGATTTATAATTTAAAACCAGAATTGTGGAAACTACTGATGCATGAAGAAACAATGAAACATGAATTCCCAAAAGGAGAATATGCATACTTCACCAGCAAGCTGAATAAGGGTTTAACCAAGCTTTTTCTATACTACTTATTTAATAACTTATTTGTCATAATGACTAATGGATAATTTTTCTCTCAATTTTATGGTCTGTTATGTATTCTCCTTAAATGAAAATAAACCAAATTAGGTAACTCACGATTACTCTCAAAGCACATGAACTGGATTTTATGATGTATAGCAACTTCTTTGACTAAGCCATCACTCAAAAGTAATGAGCAGGAATATTACAGAAAGAAATACGCAACCATAAACTAAAGGATGTCTACATACACTCTGAACACAGAGATCAGAAATTATTTTTTTTTAAACCTGGAAAATAAAAACAGGCTACTACAAAATGCAACAGGGGAAAGAAATTAACATCACTTAAAAGAAGGTTTATTTCTTATTGCTGGCTTGAAACTCAGAACAGACACGCAGAATATGCACTGGTCTGTAGAAGTATCTCAGGCAATTAAGAAGTCCCCATGTTTAATCAGAATTTTTTGCTGCTGAAGTGCTGGAACAAAAAAAAGAAAAAAAAAAAAACCTGCAAGGAACGAAATAAGAGCCCAGCTACCGCTTGGTTTCCAGGTTACAGTGCATGTCAAATATCTGTCAGTGACACCATGTATCAATTTATGACAAGCTGCTGCAATGATCTGAAAGGCCCTTGAGGCACAGAGAACAGGTAGGTCAGCAGTTGCATGCACCCCACCTCTGCTCAGCATTTGCAAGGGAACAGGCACTGTCCAGGAAGGCGATGCGTTGGGTAAATTAGCTCCCTGCCTTGACATTTCTGCTTTTATTTAACTGAAACCTAATCAATGCAACAAGGAGGTGATGTTTTAAACTATTCATAAGACTCAGCACATCTGAAGTTTTCTGTTTTCACAAAATATCAGTTGACATAATGTTAGAGTTAAGACTGTCATTTGTTTTAGCAGATCTGCTTTCGATTTCCTCCTGGCTTTTGCTAATATGAAAGAACTCCATTTATCCAGTAATGGATTTGGAATGGTTTCTTGAAATCCATTCACAGCCAGGACAGCGTACACAGTGGAAATCATATTCCTGAGGGTTAATATAAACCTAATAGAGGTTGCCTAAATCAGAAATTAAACAAAGCTTTTGAAATATTTCTTGTTTCATTTCACACCTGAGACTAATACCTTCCAATTTACATCTTTTGTATTTAAGAGGCACATGTGAAATAACTGTTGAAGCATACCAAGAATTTTCATCATACAATTTGCAATTAATAGTATTGTGCAATTGAGGCTTTTCAGAACTGCAGATGAAAGCCATTTGCATATTGTATCCCAAGTGTGCTTAATTCATACTTTCATTAAAAAAGAGCTCATTTTTGTTCACCTTAGTGCTATCCATTTTTAATGTATTCAGAATGGAACAAAGGTCTGGTATTAAATTTATTTTTTTGCCAAGTATGTCCCCTCTTAAATTTAAAGCTACCTAAAAAAAAAACCCCAACCCTCAAGTGTCATAATAAGAAATTGAATAACCTCTCTTTTATTTATTCATTTCATTACAAACTGAAGAGCTGGCTGACAATGTAAATAATACAAACATCAGGTATTACATGCAGATGCTACATTTACAACCTATCAGCATGTGTAAAACAAAGCAGATGAGCCACAAAATAAAAAATCTCCTAGATATAATAAATGTTGCTGGTTTTGAACCTCATTTATTCCTACGCAAACATGCTATGTATATAAATCTGTTGGATTTAATTGCAGTTTGTATTTAAACAAAAAAAAAAAAGGCAACAAACCCCTGAAAGAGACAGTTTTCTTTTTAAGCATTATTTTCTAAAATTATTCCATTAAATCTATTCTGGCATAAAATTAAATACTTTTCCATTTCATTCCATGTAGGCAATGATTTCTTGAAGAAATTGAATATTCAAATCAGAAAAAGGAAATGTAGTATTTTTATAATAAACTCCATTCCCCCAAACCCACATAAGTTTTGCATTTGAAATTATATATACTTATATAAAATTGTTGTAGCGGAAAGTTTCATACATGTAGATGCACACAAGATAAAAGTGAATAGAAGTCTTCAAGCTCTGTAAAAATCTGCTGAATTACAGAACTTCAAGTTTCAGCCCACAACACTATTGCAAACTCTTTCTAAGATGCTGCTAAATTGCCATAAATAATTTAAATGTTCTTTTTATGATACATAAGTAACTGTGTTCCATGTTCCTATCACTCTCCTTTTTCCACAGGAGCCTTTTTTAAATGATCTTGAGTACTAATTTGTTAATACTTAACAACATTCTTCTAAAGTGACCCTCAACGCAATACAAAGGCAATGCACAAGTATAGTTTATTCAACAAATGGGCCCTTTGTAAAAAACACATCACTATAAATAAAGCCTTGTCTCTCTAAGTGGAAGCTTTTCCCTCTTTTTTTTTTTTTTTTTTTAAACAAATCCTGCTTTCCCTTAAAAAGGAAAGACCTTGTTCTAGATCCTCAGGCTTTTGAGTCCATGCCAACTAAAGCTCTAAACATACAGTAAATCAAGAGTTTGATAAGAATAGATGCTTTTCCTCCCTCCTCCTTCCCCAGCATTTATCTACAATAAGTGGTAAAGAAAGAAATCAAATAGTTCCATATTTTATTTCACCTTTCAGGAGGAAAAACAACTGCAACAAAAGAATGTGTTTCTCCCCCATTCTGGAAGACAACATGCAGTCTGAATCTAACATTACAGTTCGAGATGCCATTGATGACATCGACACCAACATGTACCAACCACTGTCATATCCATTAAGCTTTCAAGTTTCTCTCACTGGATTTTTGATGTTAGAAATTGTTTTGGGACTTGGCAGCAACCTCACCGTGCTGGTACTTTACTGTATGAAATCCAACTTAATCAATTCTGTCAGTAACATAATTACAATGAACCTTCATGTACTTGATGTAATAATTTGTGTGGGATGTATTCCTCTAACTATAGTTATCCTTCTGCTTTCACTGGAGAGTAACACTGCTCTCATCTGCTGTTTCCATGAGGCTTGTGTCTCTTTTGCAAGCGTTTCAACTGCAATCAACGTCTTTGCTATCACTCTGGACCGATACGACATCTCCGTAAAACCTGCCAATCGAATTCTGACCATGGGAAGGGCTGTGATATTAATGACATCAATATGGATCATTTCACTTTTTTCCTTCCTGATTCCTTTCATTGAAGTCAACTTTTTCAGTCTTCGAAGCGCAACTACTTGGGAAAACAAGACACTTTTGTGCGTGAGTACAAACGAGTACCACACTGAGCTAGGAATGTACTACCACCTTCTCGTTCAGATTCCAATCTTTTTCTTCACTGTTATAGTAATGCTTATTACATACACCAAAATACTTCAGGCTCTAAACATTCGGATTGGTACAAGATTTACAACGGGACAAAAGAAGAAAGCTAGAAAGAAAAAAACTATTTCTTTGACCACTCAGCATGAGACTACAGATGTGTCCCACAGCAGTGGAGGAAGAAACGTCGTCTTTGGCGTAAGGACTTCTGTGTCTGTCATAATTGCTCTACGCCGAGCTGTAAAACGACACCGGGAGCGACGAGAACGGCAAAAGAGAGTCTTCAGAATGTCCCTCTTGATTATCTCAACATTCCTTCTCTGCTGGACACCCATCTCTGTTTTAAACACCACCATCTTATGTTTGGGCCCAAGTGACCTTTTGGTAAAGTTGCGATTATGTTTTCTAGTAATGGCATATGGAACAACTATATTTCACCCTCTACTTTATGCATTCACAAGGCAAAAGTTTCAGAAAGTTCTGAAAAGTAAGATGAAAAAGCGAGTTGTTTCTATAGTGGAAGCAGATCCCATGCCAAATAATGCTGTAATACACAACTCATGGATAGAGCCTAAAAGGAACAAAAAGATTACCTTTGAAGACAACGAAGTAAGGCAGAAATGTTTAGTACCTCAGGTTGTCACTGACTAGATTTCAGTATTCACCAAAACACATCAAGTGGAATATTTGAACAAATTGTAGAAAAATACTGCCAAATAAGAAAAACTTTTTTTAACTATTGGCGAGACTGTAAATTTTCAATATATATGTTAAATAGAGTAGGTCTTGTATATTCAGTTTCTTCATTATGTAAGATATATGTTGCATGGCCGTTTGTTAGCATAACACCATGTGTATATTTGTCAAAAATATTCAAGTCCTCTTTTTTAGAAAAATAAATAGCCTTAAAGAAGTGCAAACTTTTAAAAATATTTGTATGGCTCAGTTTCTCTGTAAAGATAAATGAGTTTTTAAACAAAAATTCCCCTCGGAAGTACTTTTCTAAAGCACAAATTCAACATTTTGCATGATATGGTATTTTTAAATTTAATTCATAAACAGTATTGATCAGAGACATTCTGAATGCTATACAGCTACAACTTGGACACATTTTGACCTCACATTTAGATAGCTACTTATTTCAAACTTCTTTAGCATGCAATTACCATGCATGTGTAGACAAAGCCATTTATATGATGCCCTTCAATTAATGGTTCAGAATTATTTAATTTTGATGGGGGGGGGAGGTTATGTTGGTCCAAAAAATGACAGTACTTTTAAGAAAAGTAAGTAGTCTTGCGTATACAATCTCAGATCCACAGTTTCTATGTAGAAAATACACAACTTTGAATAATTACACAGGAGGGGTGGAGGGGGTAAGGGGAAAAGACAGACTAAATGAAGGCAAAAACCACATACAAGAAAGTTATTAGTCTTGATGCTAAAAGAGAACCAAACAACAAAGCCATTCCTGTGCAAAGGCTTAGATTTTCACACTTGAAGGGGTTTAGCTAGACCTCTAGTGTGATATGGGGACCTTTTATACAGAGGTTTTTCATTCATACCATCTATCTGCATAGACAGATATGGCTGTCAAGTGCCACAGCTAAAGTAGAAGATAATTTTCTTGTCCTCAATAACTTTTGTATTATTTTGACTTCACTTCTCCTTCAATGATGTTTAGTTCTAGCCATGCAACTGCTTGGTCACAAACCAATCACCAATACTGCTAGCTTTCCTATTTCTGCATTTCCTGGACAGTCATGGTATACCATCATTCTATATCCTATTTTTCTATTTCATCTTATACCTGCAGCAAAGAATCAAGAAGCCTTAAGAAGTCATCATCATCCATAGCACTGTAAGCAAGAATTAAGATATTCATCCAAACAAAAGTTTGCTGAGTGGTTTGCACTATCCCATGCTTAAAAAATTCCTAATTTCAAAAAACAGTGGCTACGTTCATTGACTCAGTTACCAGTTATGGGGGGAGGGGGAAACAAAACAAAAGCCTGCAAAATCAATTAGCATGATTTCACTTGTCTTGTTACATAAACTGCTCAGTGTATGACCAGCTACCAGTATAATTAAAAGGCTAATTCTTAATAAGTATTAGCTTCTATTAAAAAAAAAAGCAGACCATATCCTTGAATATGAGAGCTAGTTTGACTCAAGTATTACATAAAAAATGAGGATTTCTGATGCACTTTTCTGAAGTTGCATATTAAAAAAAAGTGTAGTTTTAAGGGAGCAAAAAGCTATTTTCCATTACATCATTAAATTATTAATCATATGTGTATTGCCAAAACTGTTTTTGTGGTTAAAACAAAACAAAACAAAACAAAAAAGCAGTACTTGTAATGTACCTTAGTTTACTTAGGCTCATGCCTTCGCTTACCAGAACAGATGACTCAAAAAAATAATACTACAGCTCCATATTCCACAAAGACCAGCCACTTACAATCATCCAAATTCTACCTAGAAGTTTTATTACCTAACTGATAATAATTCGTTATCTAAAATGACTGTGTAACATATATTCAAACATAATTTCACTGGCTTTCTTCTAAAAGCTAGCCCAATGACACCTGCATTCAACTGTACCCACTTACAGTGTTGATTTCATCCAAGATATCCCTCGTTTCCTACATGAATTGAAATCCTTCATATTATTTGAGAGGTTGCAGTGGGGAAGTAAACGTAATGCTTTTATGCAAGAAGATTTTTTTTTTTTTTTTTTAAAACCCATATGCTCAAAATTTATCACTTCAAAAACATTCTTTCAGGAATAAGCTCTTCTGAAAAGAAATGTGCCCAGAAAACCTAAGCAGGAATGATTATTTTTTTCTTTTTTGTAACACTTCTTTCTTTCTCTGCCTAGCCATCCTCTGTATTGTGAATACTAGAAGGAGGAAAAAGTGGGATCTCTAGGGTTAATGGCATAATTTGATTTCACTGATTACTTATCTTCCAATAAAGCATTCTTAAATCAATTAAAAATACTATTCATTTATTTAAAAAGAAAAAAAAAAAAGAAATCGTAACGACCACAACACATGAATAAACTTACATCATGTCTTTATCTGAAGTAAGCATTTAAGAAAAGCTTTCAGACTTGAAAGGTTTCTTGACAACATGACTTTACTTTTTAAAATTAAATAAATCCTCAAGAACTACATGTTTAGTGTTAAAAGCTCATTCATTACAAAGTCAGATTCAATGAAGCAGTACTTTGTAACAAAGAAAATGCAGCCTAGGAATTAGTCAGAGAGATTAAGTCAGGTTTTAAAGGCTATGTCGATCACAGTCATTGATTGCCTTTAAGAATATAAGCAAGTTCATTTTTACATTTACTATTCTTCATCTTTATTAAATAAACTAAAAAAAAAAAGGACTTACACCATGTTGGAGTATACTTTGAGGTATGCAGAAGAAAATCCTGCATAGAGCAGGGAGTAATACACGTAAGAATATCTGCAATGCTATATACACGCAGGAGTCATTATAAAACAGAATCATACATGATCTGTACCACAACGACGACAGATTTAATACAAACAAGACAAAATAAAGACTAACTAGTGAAGGAACACTGTATATCCTACAGATACAGAAGAGGATTTTAGGAGAGATATGAAGGTGTGCCGTGGGTGCTTGACAGACAGACTAAAACAGAATGCAAAAATAGGCAGCACCACTGGAGAAAAAAGGGCAAATATATGCCATAGTATTGTTCAATCAGAAGCCCACTACATTCTTAAAAATGATCTCACCACAGTGAGTCATTAGTTCAATTACATTTCACACCACTCAGCCTAAGGCAAGCAGAATTGTACAGGACTCTAAAAATATTAATTCCAGCAAATACATCTCAGAAACACAAGCAACCACCACGTTTCCACACGTCCTCTGTCTCTTAAGTATTAGCTGGTATCTGACTATGTTGTCTTTTAACTTCAAATGCATCTCCATTTAATTTTACGTTGTAACATGAGGTTAGCCCACACTAAAAATACAAAAAGCTGCGTACAGTGCCAGTATCTATTGGAATATTCAAGATGCACACCTTAACAGAATAGCACATCACAAACCAGTGAAACAGAAATGTAAATACATCACAAATACCTCGTTTTAAGTTGGCAACAATGTAGGCTCTGCTATATGGTCAGTTCTGTTTACTTCACTAGTGCCAGGGGAATAGGAATTAATTTAGTGATTTCTAAATATATTAGATAAAAAAATGTATGCATCCAGATACATATTAGATCAATACACCTCTCTTCCTTCATTGTTACATAAATACACACATGTACATAATAATTATACATCCATATGCACCAGAAGTGGAGTTCAACATTAGCATCTACTTTACATTTATATGGAGGCATTTTCGGTGGGAGTGTTTTTGAACTGGACAGACAGGCACTATGCCCCACCATGCATGCACTTAAATGCCTTCTCTTCCTGCACCACCTTTTTTTTTTTCTTCTTTTTAAATGAAGTAATACATTCAACAAGCTATATCATTTACCTGGGCACAAGGAAGAATTTTTCTGCTCTGTTAACTGTTATGTATATCATATTGCAATGCGCTTAATAGTTCTTTTTCAACATCAGTGTACATACTAGTCATCAGAATTCTCTTTTTCAACATCAATGTATGTGCTAGTCATCAGAATTCTTTGATAGCTGAACATTTTAGACATGTTTTTTCCTCTGAAGAAAGTGTTTTAGTTACTAATTGCCATTAAACTCTTTTAAAAGGAGAGAATACAGCATTCTTTAGCAGTTTCAATGTAGTATTAAAAAATATAGAATACACTAACTTACCCTTCCCTCCCCCATTGTTCAAACAAAGTATCTCCAACATATAGCTAAGGACAATCAGCTTCTGTCTTAAAACCTTCCAGCTTTATAACAGCCAAATTCCGCTCCCACTTCACACATTCTGCTGTAATATCACTGAATTTATTTGTCTTGCATCAACAAGAGAGAAGGATCTGACTCTGTAATTACCTTCTCCTTTTTCTAATTCATAGAACACTTGTGTAATTCAAGAAGCAAAATTAATCACAGGGTTTGGGCTTTGTTTTGCGGGAGGGGGAAGGAAAAAAGGAGGAAGGAAAAAAGGAGGAAGGAAAAAAGGAGGAAGGAAAAAAGGAGGAAGGAAAAAAGGAGGAAGGAAAAAAGGAGGAAGGAAACCCTGACATAATAACTAATAGGAAAATCAAAATTGACTCATAACCAATGAGTGTTAAAGAAGAAGGATGTGAAGTAGGTGGAGAGTATAGGTCAAGAGAAAAAGGCAGAAGTTGGAAGCAACCACTGTAAGGCAGCTATGGCCATCAGGACCACAGAAATGCAACATGCACCTGCCATGGAAAGAATGCTAACCTTATTTTTTTAGATTATAATAAACAAAAATACAAGAACTTATCTTTGAATCATCGGGTGTGGTAAGTGGTTTTGCCAGAATTGCTGGGAGGAGAGGGGAGAACAACAGGAACAGCAGCTCCAGAAAAGGCTTTTGATTTAACAAATTATACACAGAGTAACAGACAAACCAAGAACATGCATGATTCTACCATCTCTTTTCCTAGAGATAAACTACACATTTTACCAAGTACAAAGTACATACAGAGTACATGCATTCCAAGAACAGACCTGAAAAGAAAATGTTATTAGATGTCTGTTCCCAGTGATAATTTTAAAAAATGCTATTGAATTTTACCTCAAATCAGTGTTGGTCAGATAACTTCAGTTTGTCTTGATGCTTCGAGTGTGTTTCACTACCGCAGTATGTTTTCAATTACTGCTTTTTTATCTCAATTTAATTATTTTTGTAGAGTAATAAATTGAAGGAGAAATATCATTAGACATCTTTATGTTCTTTGCTAAAATTACACTTCAGTGATTATTA